AATGCATTCTATATGTCCATATTTGGGTAGAATTTGATAAATACAATCATGAATAGTAGTAGTAGTAGTATTTTTAGATTTTAATAAACTATTTTTTAATCTTGAAATTTTGTTACGCTGCTCTCGATTAATATAATAAAATTTTCTCTTTCTAGGAGTTAAATTACCAATTCTAGTTGCATTAATTTGATTTAAAATACCAGTTCTTACACGTGGTTTCTTTATTAAAGGTTTCTCAACACATTCAATTCTATCATTAAAAAATTCTAGCTTTCTTTTAGCTGAAGTTATATTCGAAACAAGGTTTAATCAAAACATTACTAATTACATTTATTTTTGCAATCGAATTTGATGAAGGCAGCTCTGAAAAATTTTCATCTAATGTAATATTATTATTAGTATTAATATTCTCTTCTAAAGGCGCTAAAGGCAAGGCAAATTTAATGAGCTTAGTATGCAAAGTGCTGGTAAAGGCATTCTCGTCAAAATGATCCTCGCACAATAGTTTTTTTTTTTTTAGATGTGTAGGGAATATTTAAAATATCAAACCATTTCTCTCTAAGGGTAATAATGGACGGAAAAGTAAAAAATTTCTTATTAAGTGAATGTAAATAATATTAGCTTCTGCAATTTGGAGCAGCACATGCTAATGTAAATTTATTATAAGGTAATGACATCGTTAAGAACCTCAGTATATTTTTACACCTATAAATTACTTAAATCTAACTAAAACTAAATTAAAAATAAGATTATTAAATTTTACTCACCTACATTTTTCGCGACTGTCATGTTTTAGTGTAATATAACCTAATTTATTAGCAAAGCCAGATTTACACCACCTCATAATATTCAAATGTAGCTTTAACTTTATAAATTTATAACAAGTATCTGTATTTGATCATTATATTGTATTAAAGTGATATTTAAAAGATTGCATTAGTCAAATGATTGATTTCTTTAAAATTTATTCATTTTTTAATTATTATATGGGTGTAAAAACGGCTTTCATTTAGTGCTCGCAGCGCGTGAAGCGCGATATGATAAACTACAAACAAGGAAACAATTCCCGCCTATTATTCAAACCTTCTCCTTTTAGTTTTTCTATGGTTGGAACCGTTTTCGTTATTTTAACACAAACATCTCTACTCACATGTCATTTGTCATTTATGCCTTGCGTCAAAAGTTCCCATTTCATTTTGATTTGTATCTGTCAACGAACCAAGTTTTTTTTTTAATTTGGTGTCATCGGCATCAACTGCTAAGGTTATTAGCCTCGTGTTCTGTGTAGGCTTTGTAACTGTTTCCCAGCGCCACTTTAGGAACAGCACTGTTAATTATAACCCAACAGGAACCAAGTTGATTTAAATTTTAAATTATCTAGGTCATCCGATGTACTAAATAAATTTTACCTATCGTATATTCCGTCTGATTTTATAAGGTAAGCTTTAATACCGATATATTGTTTTCTATATTTTTATCATTAATCGATAGTCAAGTATAGTAAGTTTTAAATATAGTGGTGCCCAACTTCTTATTCAAGGTAATACGAGTTATTTAATAACCTGACCCACTCCCAAAATCAATTGAGCTTAAAACACTATAACAAATAGATAAAATAACAAGTATCATGTTACAAAAATGGCGCCTCAACTACTGGGTTAAATAGCTCGTTACTTTAAAATAGATTCCTTATAACTTATCGTTCTAATTCACATAGGTATTTCACAGATATTAACAATAATAATAATAATAATCATTTATTTCCGTAGACCTGAATACATAGGTATAGAAAACGTCACACAAAATTTACAAACAAGACAAAAATGTATGAGTAAAAACAAACTTATACATAATTCGTTACAAACAATACATTTAAAACATTTAAGTAAAATTAAAACATTTAAGTGAAATTATAACAAAACATTTAAGTAAAATTGCAGTTGAGGTATTCCTCAACACTATAAAAAGTGTGATCTAGTAAGACCTCTGTTACTTGGGTTTTGAAAGCTTTAACATCATTTATGCATTTTATGTTATCCGGAAGTTTATTGTAAGGTTTGATTGCTGTAATTAGAGGTCCTTTACTTGCCATAACTAATTTATGTCTAGGTATAACGAGATTTTGTGCATTTCTTAAATTGTACCCGCTATTAATAGAAATATCACCTCTATATAGAAAATTCTGATGATTAGACCTTACATATAACACACATTTTAAAATATAAAAGGAAATAACAGTTAAAATTCTTAGATCTTTAAAAAGTTGTCTGCATGAGAATTGTCTATTTTTGAAAGTAATGGTTCTTATAGCCTTTTTTTGTAACACAAGTATGTCATTTATTCTATTACAATTTCCCCAGCATAATATGCAGTAATTCAAAATCGAGTGAATTTGAGCGAAATAATACATTTTCAGGATATCTACTGAAATGAAATGTCTTAGTTGCCAAAGGACATAACAGTGAGTGGCCAATTTAGATGTGATATGGTCAACATGAAAATTCCAAGAAACATTACAATCAAAATGAACTCCTAAAAATTTGACACATTTACTTTGAGTTATAGATGTACCATTGTGGCGGACCAGTAAACTATAATTTAACTCTCTTGGGAAAAATAATAGCATATTTGTTTTATTAACATTTAAAAATAGCCCATTGTTGTAACAATAACTACTCATAGTTTCGACAGCCATGTTAGCTTGATCTCGTAACAAAAGAGTATTTTTACTTACAACACTAAATGATGTATCATCAGCAAATTGAGTGATAAAAATATTAGAACTGGCTAAGTCGTTAATAAAAAGAAGAAAAAGAGTAGGACCTATGACACTACCTTGTGGTACACCGGAACTGACTTTTCGAGAAGTTGATAGATTTTTTAAAGAATTTGAATTAAATAGAACTGTTTGGGATCTGTTAGTTAAAAAAGATTTTATCCACATCAGAGCAGGGCCCCTGATACCATACAATTCAAGTTTATGTAAAAGTAATTCTTGATTGACTGTCTCAAAGGCTCGAGAAAGATCAAAAAATAAAGTTAGACACTTATTATTTTTATCAAAATTTTCTAGGATATGATTGGACAATGTAAGAGTTGCATCTTGAGTGGAAAGGCCTTTTTGGAAACCGAATTGATAAGGATTTAAAATGCTGAACATGTTAATATATTTTACTAGCCTGGTTTGGAATGCTTTTTCGTATATCTTTCAAAATGCTGGTAATAATGATATACCACGGTAATTTGCAAACTCTGTTTTTTCTCCTTTTTTAAAAAGTGGTATTATAACTGCACTATTTAGGATCTGAGGAAATGAACCGTTTTGAAAGGACAAATTAATTAAAATAACCAAAGGTTCCACGATATATTCCAATGCATGGAACAATAAACTATATGGAATTTCATCAATTCCGCAAGAGTTTTTTGAGGATATTGTTGTTATAATTATTTCTACCTCGGAATTTGTTACTGGATATAAAAACAGTGAATCTCTACATGAATTTATGTTGTATCCTTTGTTTGAGTTTTCTATTGTTATTTTTGATAAAAGGTCTGATATTGAGCCAGAGAAAAAATCCGCAAAAGATTCAGCAATATCAGTCTGTTTTAAAATTCGTTTACCTTCATTATCTTTAAAATAGTTTGGGTAGTTATTTTTATTTGATTTTTTCCCATTTGTATTGTTATTTAGTATATTCCAGGCACCTTTTGTTTTGTTGTTTGAATAAAACATTTGAGTATCGTAATAATTTTTCTTTGCTGTCGTAATTTTTAGCCGATGATTTCTTTTAATAATATTGTATCCTTGCAAAATACCTTTATCACCAGAAGATTTGTAGAGATAAAAAAGATCTCTTAAAAGGAAACCTTCATTTATAATTTCCATAGTAATCCAAGGCTTTCCCTTATTTATATTAATATTTGATTTTTTTTATATGATTCTATTGGAAATGACTTTTCAAAAATATCTACAAATATATTGTAAAAGAGGCCAAACATTTTATCACATGATAAAGTATTTTCATTCACAAAACTCCAGTTTTCATTTGCTAGCAAATACTTGAAGTAAAAAATATTCTGAGCGTTAAAAACCTTACGTTTCAATGCATAAGTGACATCCAAACTTTCCGAATCGGACTCGGTGTCATAAACAATTTGTTGTAAAAAATGATCACTGACATCAGTTCGTATAACATTGCATTTAATAGTTTGTTTTTCTAAATTAGAAAAAATATTGTCAATTATTGACTTTGTCTGATTTGTTATACGTGTATATTCAAAAATACACTGATGTAAACCATAAGTTAAAAAAATGTTTCTTAATCTTTTCGCATTAACATCGTGAATGTTTTCGTCAAAATTTACATTGAAGTCCCCACACATTAAGAATATTTTATTACCTTTAACTATTTCAGACAATAGACAGTCAATGTTACTTAAAAATTGAGCAATATCTGGCGATGTTCGGTAAAAACAGCCTACGGTCAAAGAAAATTTATTAATTTGTAAATCGATTAGAGCATATTCAAAAATTTCATCGATTTTATTTATTTTACTTGACTTTATTGTGTATTCCAATTCAGTTTTAACAAAAATTGCGACACCGCCACCTTGCTTATCTTTACGACAAAAATAATCAGTCAATTTATATAAATCAATGAAAATAGATATTAGTTCAAATTCTTCACACCAAACTTCACTAATACAAAAAATATCGGGGTAATTTAGTGATACGATCAGTTCTTCAAGTTGATCTATTTTATTACGGAGACTTCTGAAGTTAAGATGGCATAATGTGATATAAAACGACTTACTGCCTTTGTCCTCGAAAAAACTCGTAATCCTTTAGCAGCACATTTTTGGGCCACATTTCACTTTTCAACATTTTCACTTTGCACTCCTGTCGTACACCTATTTTAAATGAACTATTATTGCCCTTTGTATTTAACTTAAAGCACTTAACGTTCTCATTTGGGAAGGTTTCTTGAAGAAAATTTAACATTATTCCATTTTCCACATGACCCTTCACTTTACTAACATGTAACCATTCCACATCGGAATCGGCTCCTTGAATTTTGCAGGAACTTTGACACGAGGAACCTTTAACAAGAACAGATTTTGAAGACCATCTGTTTCGTCTATTTACTGTCGTAAAACCGTCTTCGTCGGTTTTACTTTTATGTTTTTCTTCATTTGTTGATTTCGCTATCGGTGTGTTATCTATTTGGACCACTTTTTTGTTCAAAATGTTAAATGGATTTAGTTCCGGTGTTTTTGAAATATTAGCATTTTTATTATTTGTTGAAATATTTTGATTTCGTATAGGGTGATCTGTTTTACTGGAATATTCTTCCTCGACTGGATTTTTGTCTTGTTTTGACTTATTTGCCAAATTTGCTTTTAGAAGAAATATAATTTCTTCCTGATCACAGAGCCTTTTTTTCATTTGATCATTTAAATCATTTAATAAACAAGTTTCTCGTTCCAATTGTTTACTTTTTAATTGAACAAATCGGCATCGATCAATTTTACAGTTTTCCTCCATATTGTTCAATGACTCGTAGAAATTGTCTTTATCTTCTACTTCTGGTTGTCTTATTTTAAAATTTTTCACACAATTCTTTAGCACTGCGTTATCACTAACATGATCAGGTAACTTTTTAAAAACTATAATTTCGATTAAGTCGCTTTTTTTTAATTTATTTAGCTCTACACTTAACACGTCTTGTTCAGACGGCGCCATCTTGCATACTAACTCCATGTCTCTTATATTCTTACTAATGCTTTCTTGCCTATTATTTTAACCTTTTCTCTAAATCTGCATATCGTATTGTCAAGTTTTATATAATGTCTGCATTTTGTACTGGGTTTAGTGTTTATTTATAGATATTTTGCTAATGATATATCTACATATTCATTTTACACTAAGAAAAGTGTATAGTATATGATTTTTATTTAAAGTTGATTTTTGTGCCTATCGAGTAAAGTTTTTTTTTCGTTAGTGATAAAATTTGGGATCCGGACAGTTTTTCGAATGGTAATTATTCGAACGACAGTTCTTCGAACGAAATTTATTCGAATGGACAGTTATTCGAAAAGACAATTCTTCGAACTGATAATTTTTCAAATGTACGATTCTTCGAATAGACAATTTTTCGAAATAAGTTGATTTTATTTTATATAATTTAATTTTAATTAGTATTATAATCCCATTGAATTTTGAGAACAGGTAATCTTCTAAGTAAGGTTTTATTTTATGTAATTTAATTTTAATTAGTATTATAATCCCATTGAATTTTGAGAACAGGTAATCTTCTAAGTAATGTTTTATTTTATAGAATTTAATTTTAATTAGTACTAGAATACATAATAAATTTAGTTTTGAGAAATTGTAATCTTTTAAATAAGGGTTTTATGGTTCAGATTAAATGCCATCCCTCTAATAAATAAACAGGTAATTATTATCGGCGGGTCCTTATTGCCCACAAATCTCTGTTTTCTACCTGTGTAAGTAAAGGGGTGCGTTAATCTTACTGGTATTTTGCCCACAGTAGCATTCAGGTACCTAAACCCGCAAATTACATCCGCCCACAAATAGGTACCTACCTGATTATTAATAATTCTAATAGGTCCTTACTTTGGGTGTTTACTGTTTATATTTCAGTCAGTTTTTATACGTTGATGATTGTAATTCGAGTGTTTATAAACAATAAGTATTTCTATAATGTCAGTTACATTGATTAAAAGCACACGCGGGAAAGATGTACACCTTTTGGAGAATTTTACGTTTGCCAAAGATAGAGAAATGAAAAGTGGAGAAGTTTCTTGGAGATGCTCCCAAAGAAAAACAAATGCTTGTAATGCCACTGTATTTACAATTGGTCCTGAACTTTTAGCAACCTAATTCATAGCCATGAAGGAAATGAACCGAAATTAAACAGGAAAATTATTTCTAATTCGTGTAAGCGAAAAGCAGTTGATGATATTTCGGAAAAACCTTCTAAAATTATCCGTAAAGTACTTGCTACTAATTTACCAGAGTCACTAACTACAATTGATGTGTCCTACATAAGAAAAACTATATACAACAGTCGTCGCAAAATACTACCAGGTCCATTACCTACAAATATACAAGAAGTGCATGATGCAGTTGACTTATATTCTAATACATTTAAAACCAGTAAAGGTGAACATTTTCTTTTAATAAATAGCAGAGAAAATAATCTTATTGTATTTACATGTGAGACAAATATTCGTACTTTGTGTAAAATGAACGTCTTGTATATGGATGGAACATTTTCGTATTGTACAAAGTTTTTCCTACAATTATTTACCATTCATGGACTGTGTAATGGACACTATGTGCCCCTGGTATATTGTTTATTACCAAACAAATCTACCGATATATACAAACATTTGTTTTCGTTATTGCATTATAAAATTTTGGAAACTTACAGTATTGCTTTAAATCCATCTAAAGTGTTCGTTGATTTTGAAATAGCAATTCATAAGGCGTTAATTTATATGTGGCCTAATACTGTAATCAATGGCTGCCGATTTCATCTACATCAAGCGTGGTATCGTAAAATTTAGTCTCTGGGATTAATGACTGAATATACAACTAACAGTGATACCGGAAAATGGCTTAAAACATCATTTGGGTTGACATATTTAAACGCCGATGAAGTTGGAGACTGTTTTGTGTTTGACTTAATGGCAAGTAAACCAGAAAATGCCGTTCTCGATAGGTATGCCGATTACCTATTAGAAACATATATTGAAGAAAATTCTACATTTCCTCCAAGTATATGGGCAGAAAAAACAGCTTCAATTACAAGAACTACAATTGCCTGTGAGTCGTTTCATTCAAGGTTTAATTCTTCATTCTACTGTACACATCCTTCTGTATATATTTTTATAGAAAAGCTTAAAGACTTTCAAATCGACACGTATGTCACAATACAAAGCTTAAGTATACCTAAGAAAATCAAAGACAAAAGTGTAAAACAAAAAATTCAGTGTTTAGAAAAATTTATACAGCGATTTGATCTGCAGCAAATCAGCAGATTAGAGTATATAAAATTTGTATCACATTTATCCCTCCCAGTTGAAAAATATGTAAATAGAATATAAATATATAAAAAATATAATATAACTTATGTATACTTACTTTTTTATAATAATAAAAATTAGTGTTTAATATAATTTTTAGTATAATTAATAATGTGTTTTTACTTTTCGATAATATATAAAAAATAATAAATGAAAGATATATCTATTATGATTTATTCAGTTAGAAATAAATTTGGGCAAAATACCAACAGGATTAAGATGACCTTTTACTTGCTGTGGGCAAATTACCTATAGGATTAGCAGCTTTAAATATTTTGTGGGCAAATTACCTCCGCCCATTATTATGACATTATTATGACATTTTGACATTGTATTCAGTCTGATTTTAGTGTTTATAAAGATGCCTCTCGAACTCCTTTTTAGTGAAAAAAGGAAAAAAAAGTTATTTTTGAACGGATTTTTATTCGTTAAAGACAAAGCCGTTGATGAAAAAACATATTGGAAGTGCGAGTTCTTTTTGTCTAAGAAATGTAAATCGCGAGCAATTACAAGCCATGATGATGTTTGCAAAGAGACTTCTCACAACCACCCCGCGGATGCAGCAGAAGTAGATGCCATACGTTTTAAGAATAAACTGAAGGACAATGCTCGGACAACAAGAAACACTCCACACTACCTAGTATCGGCACTATCAAGTGAAGTGGACAAACTAACAGCAGCCAAACTAAGTAAAGTAAATAGTTTAAAGCGAACAATACGCAGGGAAAGAGTGAAAGAAAACATGGAACCCACACAGCCGAAAAGTCTAGAGGAGTTGTATCTACCTGATTCTTTTAAAACCACCACAAAAGGCGAACCATTTCTACTTTTCGATTCTGGAAACATTAAACAAAGAATTCCGATTTTCAGCACGAAAGACAACCTGGATTATCTACAAAAAGCTGAATACATATACATGGATGGAACTTTTAAGACTGCACCTATGCTTTTTTACCAGCTCTACACCAAACATACATTTATAAACGAGGAATCCGTACCACTGGTATATGCACTTCTACCTGATAAATCAAAAGACACTTACATAAAGTTAATTTCGGCCCTTAAAGATCTAGCACCAGCTCTCAGACCGCAATCGGTTCTAATAGATTTTGAAGCAGTGATGATAGGAGCGATACATCAAGAATTTCCGAATGCAACTGTACAAGAATGTTTCTTCCACTTTTCACAGGCAATTTACAGAAAAATTCAAACAGCTGGCTTTAAACAGCGATATGACACCGACAAAAACTTTTGCACAACACATGAAGATTTTAGCTGCATTAGCTTTCGTACCTACAAAATACATACAGCCATTTTTTAATGCATTAAGCGATGATTTTCCAGAAGAAGCTACCGAGGTTCTGGACTACTTTGAGGAAACATGGATTGGGATGATTCGTCGTGGTCGTCGAAGGTCACCGTTGTTTGATTGGGAAATGTGGAACTGTGTTAATAATGTTTTAAACAGTCAACCCAAGACTAACAACCACAGTGAAGGTTGGCATTTTGCCTTCGAAAGGCAACTTTCGGCTAGCCATCCCACAATATGGAAGTTTATTACCGCGATTCAACGCGAACAATCCTTAACTAAATGAGAATTTCTCAATTTTAATGTGGAACTCCCGCTGTGCCGAAGAAAACGAAGTACTTACAATTAAATATTAGATTACAAAATATTATCACTCAATTTTCTCCTAAAGACCCTATAGAATACTTAAATCGTATAGCTTGTAATTTGTCTTATAAATAAGTTCCTCGTTTCTTTTGTTATATAGTGTACAGTGAAACCTGTGTAAAACGGAATCGCACGGTCGTGCACCGATTTTCCGGCATATACAGGATTCCGCGTTACACAGGGTAGATAAAAAATTGCACATAGTAGATTTAAAAAAGTGATGATTTTATTAAAAAAAGTTTAATATACGTACATTTAATATATAGTTGTTATTATTACTATGTACCTACATATTTTTATTTATTATTAGAAACAATATAAATTATTATTTATTCCACATTTCTATCAATGTAAGTTGTTTTTTATTCTTTTGTAGTACGTAAGATGATTCCATGAATGTCCTTAATTCTAAAATCTTTTTTCTCATCGGTTCGCTCTCTATTCTTTGGGAAAAATCCTCTAACGCAGCAACACTCCTCAAAGCTTCAGAAAAATTTTTTATCCGATCGGATTCTTCAACTTCTGTTCCTGTAGAAAAAAATAATAATTTAAGAACAGATCGTTTTGAAAAGCTAATGGGAAAATAATTTTTTCTATCTGTTATTTTTGTGATGGTAACTGAAATCTTCCTATCTTATTTTTATTATGTATTTTAACTTTATTTCTACTTGGCCAAATGCCCAATTAAGATGGAAAGAATAAACAAAAAGTTGTTTATTTTTTTAGAGAATTAGAAAAATCGCTTACCAATTCCAATCCCATCATTATCGTCTGCCACAGTAGTTTCCACGGCAGTTTTTTCTAACACCAGTTCTTCTATGGACTGAAATCCAGCATTTGTTGTAACGGCTTCATCTAATGTGATGTAATCATGAACATTACAACCGGGATTAATTTCAGTAATTAACTCTTCGACTTCTTTTGTACTTTCGTCAATTTCGTC